ACATTTCTTTTGCTGCTTTAGCTCAGATACAAAAAGTTGTTTTCCAAGCTATAAAGGCCTCCATGATATTTCTTTTATAATTTTTGATGTGGAATGCGAACTCAGACGAATGTAATCCAGCAGTGACAGGAACAAATTGACGACCTTCATACTGTCTTATGACCAGAAGTGGTGCATATCTAATTCCTCCCCATATTCCGAGCAGCATTACCCAGTTGTAATCACCACATTTGTAAAAGAATTCCCTTTGGATTTGCCACGGGGCTCGCCAAACAATGTAATTGCTTTACAGATTTCGAAAGGCATTAATCCACATATCTTTCGTAATTTCTTTCGGCCATTCTTGCTCCAGAAATTCTTTCAATGGTGAGTAGTATGTATTAAAGCGCCGATATGAAACCTTTTCTGTCCTCCAAAAATGGCTACGGATCCAGACATATAACAATTGGACACACCCTGAGAATCATCCACCTCCTAGCTTTCTACAAGCGTTTAACGATCTGAAAGTCTCTGCTAGAATTACAGAGCAGGATTAACCCTTTTCGGTAGCTGCTCAAACAAATCTACTACTGCAGCTTCAATATATCCCATTACTTTTAGGAAGATGATCATACCATACATACCCAAAGCAAAGAGATTGAATCATACTTTAGTGTCTGGATGACTCTGAATAAGTTCTTTAATATTGGTCCAAGCAATGCCTTCGCTTTCGCCCTTTTGTTTTGTACGGGATACCACCCATTCCTCTCGTACTCCGGCAATCTTTGCTAATTTAACTCGAAAAAGTTGAGTTTTAATTGACCTTGAATAAATTCGATTCTCCAAAGCCCCTTCTATATGTAGCAAAGTTGTGTACTCTTCAATAGTAGGAACCAAGTCCTCCTTATTGAGAGTGAAGCAATTGTACCCTGGATTCCAGAATTGAATTAGGGCTCGAAGTAAGTCATCATCAACTTCGACATAGAGCAAATATGGGATGTCTCCGTAAGTCTGATAAAACTGCAACTTTTTGTTTGAGTCCCAACTCTCCCAAATGCCTCGCAAATCTTGCATATCATTTCTTTTTAGCGAAACTGGAGCATAATTGGCTAACTCAGATATATAGTCATCCTGCAGTCTGTCTCCCCCTTGTCTTTGTAAGTCCTCAGCCCACTGTCTTACTTCTGAGTTTAGAACTATTTGATTTGAACACTTTTTATCCATGGATGAAGGTTTTCCAATGAGACAATTAACACGAGGATCAATGCCTTTTATCATGTATGATGCTATGCAAACAGAAGAAATAAAGAACACAAAAAAAATGAATTAGTTTACATAATAAAGGAAAAAATAATTTAATAATAATGTCTACCTAAATATCTTTATTTAAACATGCTTTCTTCATACTTTAAATAATTTAAATTCACATGCAATTTATTCAGTAAGAAAATAAATTAATTAATTAAAAGGAAAAGTTAGAATTCATTTCTCCTGTGTGTACACCTATTTTGGACAAAATTTCGGCATGGCTTCAGATCGGAAGAATTTCTAGGGTTTATTATATGCAGGGTTTTAGATCTAAGAATAAAGGTACCCGAATTGTCCTTGTTAGTGCCCCCTTGGGCTGCTAACCCTCAATCCTAGTCCATCACAGACGAAAGTGGATTGAGTTCAATTCGAGGGGATACACTTCTCTATGCCTGAAACGGAGAATAAATTCTCACAAAGACATATAGCATATGAACCCCGAAAGTTACTTGCTAGGTCTGACACGGAGAATAAATTCTCACGAAGACGTCGCTTTCACTCCCACTTAAAAGGGACAAACTCAATTATAGAGCTTTATGTTATGCAATGCAAGTGTTGTGTGTGAGGAGAAATGTTTAAACCTCTGACAGAAAAATAAATAATGAAATAAAATACTTGCAAATAAAATGAAATATTAATAAAATAATATATATATAAATACTATGAAAATAATAAGTATATATAAAAATTTTGAAAAGAAAGAATTATAAATTAAATATATGAATTTTTAATTTATAATTAATAGAGACAATTTATAATTGATTTTAAAAGCTTGACCAGTCCCCAGCGGAGTCGCCAAGCTGTCGTAACCGGTTTTCGTCCGGGCACGAATTTTTACTTGATGGAGAAAATTAATGTGGATAAAAATGATTTTGATTTAAAATAAATATTTTGGGAGTCGCCATTGACCTTTTGGGGTTAGGTAGGTCAAATACCTAAAAAAATTCTTTTAAAATAGTTTTGAATAAAACATAATTTAAAAGATAAAATTGGTATGCGTATAACAAAAAATTTTAGTAAAACAGGATTCGTGGTCGATTACGTTTAGGGAAGGATTAACAACCCTATAACGCCCAAAATTGGTACTTTATTAATTATAAATTGTCTCTATTATTAGAAATTTTAAAAATTCAAAATATATTTAATTTATAATCTTATTATTTCAAATTTATTAGTATCTTTAATAAAATCTATTAATTTATATATAAATAAGATATTTATTTATTAAGAAATATCATAAAAGGACTTCTAGGTGCCTTAAGACAACTCTTTTCTTTGATATTAAAAAAATAAATATTAATAAAACAATTTTCTAAAAAATAGATTAATATATAATTTATAAAAATAGGATATTTATTTAATATATATATAAAAAACATATTATTTAATATATATTTATATGAATAAATAATAATACTTAATAATAATAATTAAATATATTACAAATAAACATATAAAATTAAAATAATAAATTAAATTAAAATATAAAATATAAATAAATAGTGACCAAAATAAATTTATACCAAATTCGAATGTTAAATTAAAATAAATTAAAACATGCTTCCGGGATTAAAATATTAATTAATAAAGTTACGAGGGCTAAATCGGTTATTTTAACTAAAATATTTATATAAACATATTAGTGACTAAATTATAAAGTAAATGAAATTAGAAGACCAAATTAAAACATTTAGAATTTGATTTCAGTGACTAAAATGGAATGTTACAAAACTAAGATGGTTGCGGAAATGGTTTAGCCAAACGCGAAATTACGGATATACCCCTTCCTAAAACGACGTCGTTTGGGAAGGGGTATATATTTCCCGAAACGGTTGGCCCGAAGGGTTAGCATCCTCGTTTCTCTTCTTCTTCTTCTCTCTTTAACTGAGAGAGAAGAAAACTATCTCGCTTCTCTCTAGCTTCCCTCACCGGAGGGAAATCAGTTATCAGCCGTCGCCGTCCCCACCGCCGGCCACTACATCCGGTGGTCGGAAAATTTTATTTTACACCAAAACGTAGATCGGACCGTCCTAATGACGGTTCTGGTGACCATTTTTCTTAAAAAGCTCCCGATCGGAGCAAATCTACGAAAATACCTTCGGGTTTTGGTTGTTTCCGGCGACAGTTGCTTTTCTTGGTGGTAAGACTCTCAACTTCTTCTCCCTTTTTTTTTTGGTTTCTTTGGTTGCTTTCTGGTCTTGCTTGTTCTCCCTTTGCCGTGTGTTTTTTCTTTGTTTGCAGGTGAACCAAGGTTTTATAACCTCGTCGAGACGTTCATCGAACCGGGTAATGGAATGGCCCTCGGTGAGTCACCGAACTATGGTGGTGACTCACCATAGGGTAGCAATGTGGATGGCTCGGTGGCGCTTCTGGAGGCTTCTTTGAGGGCGACGGCAGCTGGAACGTTGACGTGGGGCGGCTGGAGACAGAGGCGGCGCCGCGTGGTCCCTAGGGTATGATACCCTAGGGTTTTGTCTGGAGCCATCTTGGCCGTTGGATCAAATCAGATCCAACGGTGGAAAGAGAGAGGCGGCTGGATGAAGATGTTGAAACCCTAGTTGAGTTTAGAGTTTCTATTGGGCTGTTGTAACTGGGCCGGTTATTGTTGGGTCTGTAAATGGGCCTCTGGGCCTGAAGTGTAATAAAATAATATTAATAATAATAATATAATTATAATATAATTATAAAATAAAAATAATAACAATAATAAAAAATGGATAAAAAAATTAGTATCTTCACTGCTCATGAATTTGAAGCTAATTTTCTTTTGGGAAATTGCTTGAACTGCTTCTTGAAAGCCCAGATTTTGATCAAACAGCAAAGCTTGGAGTTTTTATTGGTTACCCTTTGCACAAATTTGCTATACCTACTGTGCAAACAACAATTTCACCTCTCATTACTTTTTTTTATGAGGAAATGCTGATGTGAATTATGCAGACATAAATGGGATTCTGCAAAAGAGGCTGCTCCATTAATATTTCTGGCTATGATTATGAATTCTTATTCATGCAGGCTCCCCCGCTTTCATTACAACCTCTTTACAACTAACCAACCAACAATCAAACTTAACATTATTTCCCACACTTCTCTCTCTCTCTCTCTCTATTTTCTAATTCTTCCTTTTACTTTTCATGCAAATTATTAAATGCCATCTTTAAATTCTTCTCAGAGTATCTTAGACATCTCCCTTTCAACGGCTATCATATTCATCTGCGTCTGATGGACTGAGATTCTTTTGTGAGAATTAAAACTGCACAGCTTTAAGTCAACTAATGGAAGAAGATTCAAACTATCATCACATGAGATCCATTATTAAAAAAAAAAACATTGTAATCGTCTCTCTGTTTCTGCCATTGGCAAAGCTTTGCTTGTATTGCAGTTGAACAAGATTGGTTGGTTTAAGGTGGTCCCTGTGCTTTTCCCATTGGCCGGGGCTGAGGCTGAGGCTGACCGACACCGTAACTCAACCAATGGCAGTCGCACGATAGGGGCACGTGCACCCCATCTACCAAAAAAGCACAGACTTTGCAACACTAACGTGACACATGGTGTCAACCTAGCTTGGCCCTACCTACTGTCATTATTCTCTGTGAAGTTTGCAGTAACCGATGTCACCTTGTCTCCAATTGGAATAAAATAAGACTCCACTATTTAATTTGACAATAATTCTCAAACAATTATTCAATTAATTATAAAGATTAAACACAAGCATGCGGAGCTGAAGTTGAATACTTAAATAAGATAAAAGATAACATGGACTTAACCATCTACACCATAAACAGACAAGATTTTGACTCCAACATGTCCTACGGTACACAGTAGAATTACATCCTCTCATTACATTATTGAACAGCTGCTTGTGTTTTCATCACTGAACATATGGGCTGTTGCAATAGATTGATGATGATTAGCATAATTGGGGACTTCAGGGAATGTGTATGGTGGAATGCTGTAATTGTAATAGTAGCCGGTGCTAGGGGGGATTAAAGCGGATCTATGATGCATCATCTGAGGTAGTTGCCTGTTCTGCATGTTCATCATAGACGACGATGGGTGGTTGTAGCCGTTGTGGTTCAGGAGCATCGGTGATGGATATTGACCGGTAGTGAATCCACCGTTCGGGAAACTCGTTGGGGATGGCCCCTGCAAGCAATTGTTGGATTGAACTTGATGATATCCTCCCAAACCATTGGGATTGGCTCCTAAAACAGAAGCATTAGGAAAAACATTAGCAGCATTGTTTCCATGAAAACCGGAAAGACCGGCGATGGAGTTCATTTCGTTTCCCCTCTTGGCCTCGGCACCGGCATTTAAGCCGCCTAACTGAGCATTATTCATCTTCAGAGCTGCCAATGTTTTCTGATCAAGCAAACCAGGGTTGACCTTCACCCCCATATTCTGGTTGGGGTTCCCTTTCTTCCCAACATTGTTGTTAATATTATTATTGCTGGAACCTGCAGAATTGTTCTCAACATATTTTTTAGCATTATTTGCAGCATCGAGTGCTTGTTGTCCAAGCAAACCACCGAGCTGACCCAACTGACCGATCTGGTTCGGTTTGAGAAACTGCATCTCCTCTTCTTCATCCTCTTCTTCGTCATAATCATCCATATAATCATCTTCCTCAGGAATGGAAGTGGGAAACTTCTGCTGATGCTGGTTCTTGAATGCATCAATCCCTTTCAGTATACCTTTCTTTTGGCCTTTGTTGTTGTTGTTGCTCTTGTTGTCATCTTTGATGCAGTTGTTCTTCTGCTTTTGGTTTTGATTCTGGTTCTGGTTGGACTTCTGGGACCAAACCTCAGCATATTTACCAGCCCTGAACAGTTTCTTGATCAAAGTTGCAGAATCAAAACTCCCTGAGACTGTAACTTTCTGCTGCTCAGCATCTATGCTTACTTGGTAAACACCTGGGAACAAAGAACAAAACAACAAACAGAAAATTACATGAAACAGATCAGCCAAACCATGTGATACCAATTATGACTCCAAATATCTCAACTCTAATTCAAGAAATGTCCATGTTGTGTAATCATTTCTCCAATGAAGATGAGTTGCAGTGAAGTCCAAGTCAAGATCATAAATCATTACAACTGAAAAATCCCAAAGCTGAACACTTTTTTTTGGAACTACAAGCATAAGACTCATGATTCTTCTGGTCTCCTTTTTTTCCTAATTTTCTCAGCAGCCAAGCAGCAAAACAGATTATAGGAAGAGAGAAAACATTTGAGAAAAGTGAGAAGAGCACCTTCAATTCTCTGGAGGAGTTTCTTCACTTTCTGCTTGCAACCATCACAGTGTATGTTCACTTTGAGAACACAAGTCTGGATAAGAAAAACAAAACAAGAGGGGGGAAAAGAGATTCTTCAGAACAAAAGACCAGCATCACCTACATTTGTTAATAGTAAACAAATCAAAAAGGAGGGTAACAAGAGAAAGACCTGAATCTTGAGCAGCTTAAAGTTTTCTTCTTTAGTCATATCTTCACCTCTGTTTTTTGAATGAATGAAAAACACTAGCTCGGTAAGAGCAAACACAGGAGTAAAAATAAAAAGAGGACAAGGCAGGTAAGCTAGAGAAGATTTAAACAACACATTCTTGTTCAACACTACTCAAAAGACAACAAAAGAAAAGCACATGGACTTTATAAGCTTGAAAGCTAGTTCCTTTTCTTCCCTTTAATACCAACAAGAAAGAAAAGCAAACCCTATACACTAAGGCAAACAAGGAGAGTAAAATTAAACCCACCAGCACCGTAAGGAAGGAGAGAGAGAGAAATGGAAGTCAGAGGAAAGATATATGATGATAATATAATAATAATAATAATAATAATAATAATAATAATAATAATAATAGAGAGAGAGAGAGAGAGGAAAGGTGGGGGTTTGGGAATTGCTGCAGACTGTTTCGAATTCTGAGGGTGATGTGATTTAACGTTAAATACCGAAGAGAAAACAATAAAAGAACAGCGACTTGACAAGCAGACATCTATCCTTGTCCTGTTTGTCACATGTACAATTTTCAAACTTTTATAATTATCGGGGGAAAATGATGGTAAGAATTCGCTGAAAAATCAAAGCTTTCTGTTATATGATACTCCGTGAATCGAAATCTGAATGGTTCCCGAAAGTATTATTTTAGTAATTCATAGAGTGGTTTCAGTTCACAAACCCATCAATGGTAAACTCAATGAGAAAGCGAGTTGGTTGAGAGTTGGGACCAACGGCTTTATCTAACTCGGCTTGGGGACTTGTGAAGATTGTCCCTTTGTTCTTCACTCCCCAAATTCTAACGTTTACTTGCATAGTTGCATGTATTTTCATGGTGTCCACAAGCTCACTGCAATGAACCCGGTGGCCTAAACCAACCCACCTGACTCTGCTCTGCGGCTAATTCCTTTCAAAGGTTGCTTTCAATCTTATAACTTGTGCTCATTTTCTTCTTCCAAAACTCACTTTCCTTTTTGTTTCCTTTGAGTAACACACAATTTTTGCATCTCTCCGTCTGCCCTTTTCTTCCTTTAATTTTTTAAAGTCTCTCTTTGCAGTTGAATCCATGGTTTTCATAACTGAACCGGTTAACGAACCGGTCATGTTACCCGTTCACTGGTTCAACCGGTCGAACCGGTCCGACCGGTCGGAAGAACCGGACGACGTCATAATTATTTAAAAAATTAAATAAAAATACTAAAAATATTTAATAAAAAATAATTTTTTATATCACAAGTCATATTCAAAGCAAGTCATAACATATATAAGTTAAAAACCATAAAATCAAGTGAAACAAAATGATTCAAATTAACTACAACATAATATTTAAGGTAAAACATATTAAATAATAAATATAATTATATAACTATAATTAAAAAATAAATTTGGGGTTAAAAAATTCATAACAAAATTATATAACTATAATTATATAACTATTCTTTCACTTCAATCAAGCTCGAATTTTAGGCTTCAATTGAGCTTCTAATTTTTTTTGAGTTCAAGCCTTTTTTAGTTCAAGTTTCAATATTATATTTCGAGTTTGAGTTTAACTTGATAATTTTTAGCTTGTGAGTTTGAGTTGAATTGAGCTTACTTTTAAAGTTTTCAAGTTCGAGTCGAGCTCAGCAATACTCGAGTTCGACTTGGCTCGTTTAACAAACGACGTTGTTTGGTTTATTTTTTTTTTAAATAAAAATTCCGGTTTTTCCCGGTTTTTTCCGATTTTCAGCAGGTCCGATTCGAATGGTTCAGCGGTTCTGGCTGGTTCACTAATAACGGTTCAACCGGTTTAGATTAAACCAAACTAAGCAACGGTTCTCGATTAAACCGGCCAATCCGGTCCGGTTTTCAGAACAGAGGTTGAATCTTATGTATTTACTCCTTTGAACAATTGTAATCATTACTCCTAGGGCAAATTATATTCTTCTAATATTTAATGCATTCGTATTTATTAACTATATTCTTTTAATATTTAAATTCTAGACTAATGAATGAATGGCAAAATTCTTTGGATAATGTGGTAAAAATAAGTAGGCTCATTTAAGGTGGGGTAAATTATATATACTTTATTTAATGTAAAATAAATAGTGTAAGAGGTCGGATTATTTTATAACTTTATGAAGTGATTTTATTAATAAAATTTAAAAAATTGACAATTAGATTGAAATTTATTCATAATCAAGTCATCATGGATTAGGGATGGCAAAAAAATTCGAATCCGACGGGGAAAACCGAATTAAACAGGATGGGAAAAAACCGTTTATGCTAAACGGGGACGGGGACGGGTTTGGTAATCCCGCCCCGATTACCCGATTACCCGGCCCGATACCCGACCTGATAAATATTAAAAATAATTATTATATATATAATATTAATAAATTTAATTTAAATTAATATATATATATATTTATATATTTAATTTAAATATATATACCCGGCCCGATACCTAACCCGTTACCCGTTTAAATACCCGTTTATGCTAAACGGGAATACCCGTTTCCCCACGGTTTTCCCCGATTACCCGATGGAGATTCCTGTTTAAATTCCTGCGGTTTTTTAAGCGGAGACGAGTACGAGTTTTTTAAACGGAGACAGGGTCGGGGGACAATACCCGGCCCGAATCCGGCCCGTTGCCATCCTATCATGGATGTAATTATTTAAAAAAGCAAAAAAAAAATATTAAATATTTAAATATTTTTAATAAAAAAATTCAAAATAAATTTCTTTTACTTTTTAAAAAATATCTCAAAATTTAAATCTCTTGTACTCATTTAGCAAACGATTATAAATATAATACCTAACTTAATCAAATTTTAATTGCTTGTAAACAATGATCAGTATTTATGTGTCCTTTAATAAATTGTGTAATAAATCAATAAAATATTTTTAAATTACTTATTTTACGTTGTAAGTGTTGGTTTTGAACCCGTAACACTTTATTCTACAATTTACTTTGTTGAAACCCGAAGCTTGTTTCCCTTTCACAATGAATAAAATTTTAATTATAAAATCAACTTTTTAAATTTTATTTTTCATACTCTACAACTTGGGAAGACTAAATTACGAAATGAGAAAGAATTAAGCTTCATGCAATCCAATTACATTTATTTAAAAAAGAAAAAAAATATTATTTTGATTTTCTTTTATTAATTTGGGGTTAATACAAAACAGTATTTGTTCAAATATAATTTTTGGCCATGAGACATTTAACGCTTACATCCTTGACATTTCCAGTGCTCGAATACAAGACCATAAGGAATAACAATTATTCCTTTATTACTGAGATTATTTAGTGCGGGGTTATTTTGATATATAAATAGTGAAAACCCACTTTACATAATTTTTTATTATTTAAATCTAAACTTCAAACCCAAATAAATCCTAAATATCTAGACCTAAAATAAACGGCTTCAGCATATAAAATTTTCTAAAGAAAAAAAGTGGTAAAAGAAGACGTAGAAAGGTACAAACAAAATGTTTGTTTGCTAGGGCGTATGGGCAGAAGCTTTTGAAGCTTTGCATTAAAAATAATGGAAAGCCAAGGTTTCCTCGATCATTTGTGGTCCAGCTGTTTAGTTTGAAAGTGTTATCATTTTCCACCTTTATAAAGGGTTTTTTCTTTTGTGGTAAACCCTAATAAATTAACATTTGATGTGACATATATATTATATTAAAACTTTTATATATATCTCAATTTAAAACAACACTTATAAATCAATTTATTTTATGGCATAACGTAAAATGTTTGATAGTATTGTCAAACTTACTCGTATTATTTTTTAGGGTAAAGTATAGTAATTGTTATTGAATTTTTTTAAAGTTTGCATTTAGGTTCCTCAACTTTTAAAACTTACAACACAGTCCTCCAACATTTAGTCCATTTGCAATATAGTCCCCGACGTAACCGGCTATTTGATGTCGTCTGTAATATGGTCACTGAACTTTTTAGGCGTTTGTATTTAGGTTCGCTAACTTTTAAAACTTGCAACACAGTCCTCAATTTCATTCTAAACTCCAAATTCATTTCCGATCTCGAATTTCCTTTTTTGCTTATATCTTCTCATTTTCAACGTAACTTTTCAGTCGGGGATGCATGTGAAATTCTAATCTAACTTTGAATTCTGTGGAGGTGTTGACTTGAATAAGGGTCCATTGAGAAAAGACCCGACTAAGGGACTATCGGGACCATCAACGATTCAAGGTGTAATGTTATATACATGTCATCTCAGGTGAAGCATAGATGTTCGATGAAATGCTTGTGAGAAAAAATGGGGTTAGAAATGCATAGTTAACAAATACTACTAAGATGAACTAAGTATCATTGTTGAAAGTCACAAACAAAGCTGGAATTATTTTGTATAAATGGCATATAATAATTTCTTCGTTTAATCCTTATGGTTAAAGATTTTTAACATATGATCAAATATAATAAAATCCCAAACAACGCTTCACCTCTCAGTCTCTTTCGCTCACATGCAATCTCGTTTGGTTTTTGTTCTTCAGTTTTCCGCCATGTAAAATTGTAAACCCAAGCAGTGCTATGTCTTTCAGCTTTTTATTTACAAAGAAAAAATGGAGCAAAAATTGCTGGAACGCAACACCGATTGCGTTTATTTCTTAGCCTATCCCCTCACTTGCAAGAATGTATTTAATTTCTCTTTTGGGCTATCCGGAAGTAAGTTTTTCCTCTTTCGCACTTTCCTATTTTCAGCTCGCATTATGTGTTTTTTGTTAAAATTTTTATGTTTCTGGAACTGCATGTCAAGGATATGGATATTCAGTGTTACTTTGAACCAAAACCATCTAATTTTATTTATTTCTTCTTAATCAAAACTTTTAGTACTCCTTATGAAAAATATTATGTCCATCAAAATAGAAGTGAAATAGGGTCCTAGGCTAAATGCTTTTTGATCTTCTTGTTTGGGTTTTCTTTAAATCAGGGAATTGGTTGTGAGTATCGACATAGTGAAATAGCCAAACTTAATCCGAGAGACTGATGGTACTAGTTTACTGGGAATTGTATTGATCTGACATGTGGTTTTTGGCGTCCTGTGAGCTCGTATTTTTTTTAATAAGTTTTAAAAGTTGATTATGGAACTGATATATCGTGAACGAATTGAATTTTTTTACATGTTTTAGAAATTTTACAGTTGAACCTGTATTAAATTATAGCTTTAAAAGACAATTCTGAATGCATACAAATCGAAAAGCATCATGACAGGGTAGTATATTTG